GTATACAGATCGATGGAAGAGGAGTGATAATAAATTGGGCCTGATTTATGATTTGTGGTGGGTGGCATGTTGCAGCTTTGGGCTTGCATAATATATCATATATTGGGCCTGCATAATACAGCATATATTGGGCCCTTTAATTATATGTATATTATCGGTTTTCGGTTCGGTTTGGTTAACCGAAGGGTTATAGCCAAACCGAACCGAAAACCGAAATATGGAGAAACTAGTAACCGAAAACCGAACCAATATTTCGGTTCCGGTTTCGGTCGAAACCGAATTTTCGGTTTCGGTCGGTTTCGGTCGGTTAACCGCAGTTTGTGCACCCCTACTCGTTGCCCGCTTAACCCCGAGCTTAAGGGTTAGGGGTTAGGTTTGTATATAGGCAACCAGCCGAGTCATTGAGCCCACCTGGGAAAATTATCTTATCTTGCTTGGGACACGTGTCCAACATATAGTCATTTGTGCAGGTTTGCCAAACCGGTGTTCCACACGACGTCGTATTATGGATGTGTAGAATTAGTAAAAACTAAAAACCCAGTCCACATGCCACAGCTAATGCAGCAGGCGTCTCTTATTATCATAGCCATTTGAGGAGTGGATTAGCCACTCGCCCGCACATAGAGATGCTGAGAGTTGGCGGGAAAGGAGGGGGTGGCATTGGGCAGCTACTGGCGGCGGTGGCGGCAGCTCTGCTGCTCCGCCTCTTCTCCGGCCCGGGGCCGGAGGTACTATCGGAGGCTCTGCCGGAGGATGAGGAAGAGAAAGGGGATGCCCCAGCGAAGGGGAAAGTCGTGCCTGTTACTATCAGATGGGCAAACATCAATTGCGCCCTCGCCGATAAATCTTCAAAATCAGTGAGTGGATAAATCAATTTATTGAGCCTAAGGAGTTTGAAATATGGGCAATTGTGCCATCTAGGAGGCAGGTGTATTCCATAAGCAGTAACTTGATCATATGATCTGATTAGTTGCAGTGGCACTAATTTGGCATAATTGGATTCAGTATTGGATTTTGCTGATAATTATTAAGTAAATATACGCGATCATTTCACATGAATGAGAAATTTTCATGTTAAAGTGATGCATTTTGTCTAGGCATGTTATCATTGTGTAATATTTTCATTTTCTTCATTAGAAAACTCTTGGCACTTTCAGTTGTTCATGTTTAGCCCCACTCCTCTCTGGATAACTGAATATAATGCCGTCTTGGTGTGTAGTTTTACTGACCCAGTTAACCTCGTGTTCTACTTCTCCATTTGTTAGGTTCGTTTTCTACTGAAAAATGTCAGTGGAGAGGCAAAACCAGGTCGTTTACTTGCGGTGATGGGTCCATCAGGATCAGGCAAGACTACCTTGCTGAATGTTTTAGCAGGTCAGATAGTGGCGTCCCCTAGATTACACTTGTCTGGACTTCTGGAGGTCAATGGACACTCATTCTCGAATAACCCTTACAAGTATGCGGTGCTTCAACATCCAAATAACTTAGCACTATTACTGCTTTGAGAAAAAAAGTTATCACTGTAATTTGTAATTTTTATTTTGAAGATTCTCATTTTCGTCTTTTCCATTTGTTTGAGTTTTCGTCATATGTTAAATGGAAGAGTAGATGAAATAACTAAAATATGATACTTAATTGTCGTTTGAAATGATAGTACATTTTGTCGAGCTTTATTGGTTGAGTTGTTTCAAGTCAATTTTAACATGAGAGTATTGAAAGTTAATTATGATTCTGTCTTGTAGTCCAATGTTCGGAATATATTATTGAAGATAATCTAGCATACTGGTGAATATTGGATCTTCTTTAATGGAT